GCATCATTGGATGAATGTATGAGTCGTAACGGTGGTGAAATTGAGGACGTGGATGAAAGATGTGTGTCATAACTAGAAACACTCACAGATTGTTATACAGACGATGTGAATGTGGAGTGTGCGTATAAGGATGGGCTCGAATCTTTTCATCGTTCTTCATTTCGCTCAGGTTCTGTACAACATACTCCACACAATGTACACACTCTCAAGCTACAAGTATAGATTTTCGCAAATTGATAAATAACGATGAGCCTTCTGGAAGTCATTGTGGATGACATAAAGTCTATTGCGCCGTGTCGTACATTCTAAAGTCCAATGTATCGAAAATTTACTCTACTCACTAAAGATGTAGGTAAAATGATAAGAAAATCAAATAATCATTTCAGACAAGCACGAACCTGATTATTTCTGATTTCTTTATATTTCGGAAGATCATTTTATTAAAAAGCTAACTTGGTAATGACTTATTAAAATCGATTATTTTGAAATAGATAAGTGATGAAGTAGCCATTTGTATATGGAAGTAACTATTATCGATTTTGAATTATCAAATCGATTATAGTAAATGACTTTCATTTTTTTATGAATTCTAAACGGCTATAAATGAAATAAAAGAAAAACAATGGAAAGTCTTGTGATGAAAAAACTTTTGAAAAACAGAATGATATGTAACAAAAAACGCAGATTAAAAAAGAGATTCTGAAATCATCCCTAGAAAAAATTCGATGGGATAATCGAAATTTACTAAATAACTTCTGACCACGCCCATTTCAAACACCATTAAAACTATAAGAAATTTGCAAAAAAAATACTTTTTATGTTCTTTATTGTGCTTTAATTCTGTTTGCCATTGTTGCTTCACATTATTTTCCTTACTATCATCGTTTTATCTGATAGTTCATTTTGTCAGAATGAATCGTGATAATGGGTGCTCCACTTAATCCATCTACACCGTTTCAATATTATTCGATATATATATATGGAATAAAAAGAAAATTATCTCTCGATTTATGGATGAAAGGCCTTGTCTTTCTTGTATCTCATGTTCAGAGCTTACCAAACATTAAGAACATTTCGGGGCACATTTTACGCAAAAACATGACTTTGTAATGACTATTATCCATATTAAGTACATTCAAAGAATACCGAAAATTGGAGACTATATGTAAAACAAGAACATTCTCTATCGAAGGAGCTTACTGAACCGAAAATATTTTGGGACGTGATCCGCTTAAATGGCAATATTGAAATATGATTTAAACTAGAGTTTTGGTCGAAATATTTTCGATGCGAAGTTGGAAAACTTGGGTATATATAAACATATCATCAAATAGTGTTTTTCTCTCTTCACACGCGACCTCCTGTTGCATTTTCCCCATCGTTGCTTGCCCAATCGTTTACATTAGCTTAATAGTCCTTCGAATAATCCTATAAGACTGAAAAGACATACGATATCTTCTGCAAGTATCCCCGAAATTTCAATTAAGTGTCAACACAGGACATATAGTATACATGGGAAATTTTGCATGAACAAATGAGACAACACCCCGGAACATCGAACGTGATGTAGCTGTCGCAAAAATACGGGCACACACTCTACATTGTCGACATCGCCGATTTATCCTATATCTCCTATGCTAGTATTGAATTAAATGCCCAAGGAAATCCTTAAAAAAAATCTAATCTGAAAAAAAGCTGTATAATTCAGTAGTAAAAATACTTATTTGCGTAATTTATTCTTTTTGCTTTGCATTTGCTTTGAGCTCGTTTTACATGCTCAAGAGCAATCATGTTTTGATTTTATCGTTGTAGCATTTATACAAATATTTACGTCATGACAGAAACAAGTGAATAATCGTATCGATATAAAATTACTGCCGCTTCAAGTATTTAGTAATAGAAGTCGGAAGTATATGTATTTCTTATTAATTATTCAAAGGAGCACACTTATAAAAAAAGCTGCGCTGTGTTTCATGACCAGTTCTCATCAAAGATTCAAATTGCTTCGAATTTAATAATGGGCATGAGATTTATCTTAGAAGTACTGCTGATGGCCATAATTAATCAAATTTTACTTGATGCTATTCCATTAGCAGTCCATAGTCCTACAGCTGAAAAAAACCGATCTATGTGGGTGAAGAAAAATGAAATTTGTGAGACATGTCTTGCGCTTGAATGTATTTAGGTCAAAGTGGCAGTGTCTGCATGGCACCTTGTGATCCACGTGATGTTTGTATGAAGCGCAATGAAGTGCAGGGAATACTGTTTCCACAACCATATGGTCACACGCCCAAAGTTTTACTTGTTGCATTGACTTCCGTTGATATGCAGTAAGCAAGAATAAAATAAAAGAAGAATTGAACATATCTCTACTTGTTACATCGAAACGAAGCTTGAAAATATACAAGCCTTTAATTTTTTTAAAATAAAATCACTTAATTGATAGTTCTAGATTCTTCTTGTTCTCATGATCAACTGTTTCCTTTTACCTATTCTAGGGGTCAAGACAGAAATATACGAATGACTCTGAGCAAAGAGAACATAACACCGTATGGATTCAACCTTCGATTCAATTCTTGGCTGGACTCTATTACTTATGGGGCATGTGCCGATTGGCTAGCGTGTCCATGAAAAAACCGAACTTCTTCCATACATTTGTTCTTCGACACCTTTTTTTAATATGTGGCTGAATGCTGCAATGTTGATCTATTCAATGTTATTATTTGGATTGATACTGAATAAAAACAGCTCATTCTTAATATCACAGAATTCTTCGAAATCTATATGAACGTGTGTCGAGTGACATTACATGTGTGCTCACAGTAGACCCGTAAGCAAGAGTTTGAGATATGAAGATATCCATAAGAATCATTTGGAACGTTTATTTCAGCAATGATAAATAACGCATGGGTGTCAATTTTGAGGACTAAGGCATACGGAAAACTGTAAGTATCGGTACGGGACGTGAGTGTGGCTTTAGTCGTGGGTATTGGTGTAATGTTGGCATGAGTATGTATGAGTGTAAGGATTAGCTTGAATCTTATCATCACCTATCCTTCGCTCATGTTCATATCCTGACTAACGATTTAGATTTGACATGTAACAAACTGCAACAAAATGAATAGAATGTAATGACTTAAACGTTGGTTGGTAGGTGTATGACTGTAGAGATGGATAGCTGGTTGTAAATAGGCGAGAAGATTCGCCCACAAACACTCACATATCCACATCTTCAAGATTGATCGTGGCTTATGTGAAGTGATTTGTATAAGCACATTATAAAACATTGTAGCTGATTCATATACAGGTCACTTTCTATTAACTTTAAAGAAAAAGATTCGTAACATATACGTTCATTGTAATAAACTAGCTTCCTAATTACTATCGCAGGAGAATAATCAGATGTCAGAAAGGAGACTGTCATAAACGCAACTACTGAGAATAATGGCATTGATAAAGTTAAAAAAAGTAGTAACCAAAAGGCGGCATTCCTACCTCATAACTAAGAAGCCAAAAGAATAATTTGCAAAAGTGTACCCAAATCATTCCCTAGCCACATCTGTTTCGCACCTAACAGCATTGAAAATATTATTATAGTACAGATGCAAAAGAATTTCGTTATTTATGATTACTGAAGGTAAAATACATGTTTTCGGGATATAGAGAGAGAAATGTGATTATTTTGTGCTTCATCAAAAACAATCTAGATCTAATAGATCACAACAGTCCGGGTAGGCTTCGATGGGCTCTATCGATGATTCAGTGTTTCTTGGCTTACGAGGTTTTTTTTCATTTGTAAAATAAAATTCTGAATGAGAACAAGTTTACACGAAATACATGAATCATATTTTAGTTCAGGGGCATTACAATAAGAGTACGCATGCAACGATCAGAGCCGACAATTGTTCACTTTGAAAAATATCAGGAAGTGTAAAAATGCCTATATCAACCGAAATAGTGATATATAATGAGTTAATAGAGCTTACTAAAAAAATGCTTATATCTTTTTCAAAAAACCGTTGACATGATAGTCAGTGTATTGTATCTTCACATATAAGCTCATGCACTGGGTTGTCTTTAAGTGACGCAGCTTCTATAGATTATCATGGCTTTGTCCGTCTCAAACAATAAAATAGCTTAAATGAATCAATCTTGCTGAAAAAATACGGCTTCATGTAAATAAATGTAATGACCTGTTGCAAAAGACTACGAAATCAATTTTGACTGGATAATACCATAACATCGAATTGTGATGCTCTATATCAAGTCGACCAACTCATGCTTCTCCTGTTTAATTACATATTACCGGTGAGAATGCATTCGAAACTTGACTATAGTCATTTCTCCTACAAGGATACACAAAAGTGATGGAAAATATGGTTCCTTGTGAAACTTCTTCGACAATTGAAATGATCGTTGAAAAGCATTGCAAATGAATTGAAAGAATTCGCAAAGAGATTACAGGAGAAGGTTTGAGGGTGAAAATTGGCTTAAGCAATGAAATACCATAGTAAACAACAGTCAAAAATGCTACATTTATTCAGCTGAAAAATAGAAGTAAGAATCCTAAAATGCGCTAAAAATAGCACGGGCTCTTGTGATTATACTTTAAACTGTGATTACAATGTTTTCTTTTCACACCGGTTTTTAATTTATTCCAGATAAGTACTGAATAGATGTTAATCATCAGATATATATTTTATTAAAAATTTCTTCTAGTATGAAGTTTTGTATAGAAATATGGAAAAGCCTTATTAGACTTAATAAGAATATAAAAGTTAAAATAAAATTTCAAACATTTGTGTGTCAGTCATACAAATAAACACAATCAACAACCAAGAAATTCATATTAAAATGTAAGTGATTTTCAACAATACGACATCAGTTTCTGATTTATCATACTTTTTTTTTAGGTTAACCAAGAAAATAATTAAGTAGAGGATGACTGATATTGAAAGACAGCAAAAATCATTTTATATGGACCAACCATTCGAAGCACATTATGAAAGATGCTTTAATAACTCGGGTAAAATATTAACGGCTCGATCGCGCAGACGATATCGCACAACATGTGATACTTCAGTATCGCCCGGATTTATTTCAATAGTAATTGCCTTGTTCCGTGCAGCTCGTAGCACTGGCTCCGCAATATATGGAAATACACTAGTAGTACCAATGCTAATAACAGCGTCTAAACCTTGTTCCATTATTTCATAAAGTTTACTTACTGCACGCATTGGTAACATCTCACCAAATAAAACGACACGTGGACGTACGAGTGCACCACAGCGCTCACAATCAGGTGGAATTTTCATGCTTTCAAAGTTGGTAACATATTTTTCATGACCACAAGAAGTACAAAACAAATCTTGAATATTACCATGAATTTCGATAAGATTTTTCGTACCAGCACTTCTGTGCAGACCATCAACATTTTGTGTAAGTACAGTGAATTGTTCAAACTTCGACTGAAGTGCTACAAGTGCCTTATGTGCAGCGTTAGGCTTGGCAGCACGACAAGCCGATTCGATTTGATAAATATATTTCCAGCAGATATCTGGTCGTGTATTCATTATGTAACCGGAGAGTGCCTCCTCGATTGCCATTCCGTCTTCAGTCTCTTTTCCGTCACTATATAGACCGCCAATGCCACGATATGTTGGCAGTCCAGAATCGGCAGAAATACCAGCGCCAGTGACAGCTAACACACGTTTGGCATGACGAAGCTCCTGGGCAGCCATCTTCTACAGAATTAAACATACACAGAAATTTTTACGTTGAATAAAAAATACAGAATAAATCTGCATCTTTTTCTTTGTGCAAATAAACGTTCATGATTAAAAATGATGAAAAAACTTATCAGCTCATTTGTCAAAGTCTATTTTTTTAGAAGAAATCATTAATCTCTTTTTTGACAGACAGTTTATAAGAGTATTGAGACGTTGATAATATTTCTTAAGTTACAGGTAATTCAAAAGTAAACTATACGACACAGATCCACGAATCTATTCCGTGTTTTTTCTCATGCTTATGTGCTTTTATGTATTGATTTGTTTTTGCTCAATGCATACGTTTCGAAAACGTACAATCGTTTGTTCTTCAACCTTGTCTCGAACCATCAGATGATGTAACATGCATGTTGCAGAAATTTATACAATTCTACATGGGTGTGCGCTACAGTGGCAGATAATTTCTAGAATCTCTAATACACGTAGTATAAATATCATCTGAATGTAAGTTGACTTCGCATTTTTTAGATGTCTTCTATTTGAATAATAAAGATCTCGTTTCAAATCATGATCTACTAATAGAATAGTAACAAAAAAATGACATAGAAATAGAACGAAAAATCGTGTGCATTTGTATGCCATAAAAGCCTAGATTTTCTTTCATAATAGTATTTGTTGTCTTACCAGAATAGATCCTTCTATTGGATTGAATGTTTGTGTCGGATCAGAAGTGGACAGATGCCTTATGGTGTGTTTGTTCTTTTTGACAAAGTATTTTTGATGAAAGTCAAAACTTTGCTTGTAATTGTTGGCGAAAGTGGACAAAGCCTTCCGCTGACATTGATCGAACTTATTAATAAACAAATAGAGAATATTCTTGTTCATTAGAGGCGAATTCACTCGTTCGAATTTGAGATATTCTTGAAGTTAAGTCTATCTAAAATGAAAGATGATTAGACTTTTTCTGTGTTTTCTTCAGTTAATGAAAGCTTTTTTTTCTTCCATTTATAATTATAAGAACGTTTTTTTGTCTTTTCTTCTTCATCGAGAAGATATTTTTTCAATAAAATAAATGAATATTATTGACAATAAGCAAACTACTCACAGTATTAATAATTTAAAACAGTTTTAAAATGTCTATCAGTTCGTTTGAATCCATAATGATTTTCTGCTTAACATTTCAGTTTATTTTTGTTTTATTTATTATTCGTCTTCTTCCTACTGCCATAGCACATATATATGAACGTGTTAACACTGTATGAAATATCGGCATCAATGAATGGTTCTATGTTCAAGGAAAAATCACTTTAGGCTTCTTCAAAGCGAAAAGAAATATAATTAATCTATTTATTTATTGAAGGTCAGAACAGATATACGAAAAAAATCATCTATACATCAGCCATATGAAATATTGAATAAAGGGAGGACATACTGATTGCTGTTGGATGACATCTGTCGCCTGAATTTCTTTAAGTATTAATAATGCAAGTTTTATCGAAATAGATGACAAGTTTTCGACGCGAGAAAAATAAATTATCAATTCATGCTCTGATTGTATTTTAATTCTCGCAACCAAGAAAAAACTATTAATCATCGAAAATTTCAGTTATTTTTCCTATGCTTATTGAAATCATATTTTTGTTTGACATTATAGTTTGTTTCATGATTAAGTTCGTAAATATAATATATTGAAACAAATATACAGATATATACGCGTGAGAATGTTCTTTTAAAAGAAAAAGTTTTAAGATTAACTAGAATAAATAATATTGGGAGAAAATAAAATAAGATATTCTATAAGAATCAGATCATATGAGTATAATATCTCTGTTTCATATAACAAAATGTTATTTTTATTCAATATGAATTAAATAAAGGATAGAATAAATTGATAAGTCAGTCTATTCAACTTGTAGATACGATGAATATAATAGAATTCTATCAATGAATAGTATTAATTCGTTCTTATTTATTATATTCATTTTGGGTGACTTTGGTTCAATGGTTTATAAATTATCTTCCATACATAAGATTATAATAGATTAAAAGGTAAGGATAACTACGCATGTAAAAACTAATGGGAGAAAATCAATTATAATCAGATTTTCTTCCATTAGTTTTTACATGGGCCGTGCAATTATGAAAACATCTAGATATTAAGAAACCTAAAAATTCCAGGTCTACCTCAAAATGACGAGACAATATGGTCTGTTTACATAACGTGATGCCGTATTTTCTTTCTATACGGCTGTAAATGTGCGATGACCTCATCATGATACAGTCGTCTTTCTGCACCAGATATTACGGTCAGAATATTGTCCGTTTTTACATCATAAATTAACCGTAAACGGCCATTTACAGATCGTATTGTTCGATCTTGGTAGGAAAGCTTTTCAATTCTTGTATAGAAATCGTATTCTTATTGAGGAAATTTCAGTAAAATAAATGATAGAATGATAGAACTTGTTCAATATCAGTCATTGCGGGTTACTAAATGAAAATTTTTGAAGCAGTTCTTTCCTAGTATTATTATATATGAAACACGATAGACGAAAATAAAAGTTGTTATTATTAAAAATTCCGAGACTTTTATGAGTTTCACTATGTATATCGTCGTAGAGCTGTGATAACAACTTTTTCTCAAAGGAACCGATTACTTAACAGACATATTAAATGAATCGTTTTTTTTGCCAGTTTAACCAAGAGTTTTAACTGATCAGTTCAGCAGTACGGTAAAAAAACAAATTCAACCGATTTCAAGTCTGAAAGCAATGCGGCCTGAAATATAATTTTTTACGACCACGCCTTAAAATATTGATAAATGATTCAGTCTCTTAATGTTGGTGTTTGCATTAGTTTGTCGAACATAATTTTCAGTGTGCATCAGCTCTGATTCGTGCCGTTTTCAAGATAACTCAAATTAAAAGGTCAAAAGGCGAGTCTCACTTGGTATAGGGATGATCTAATTCTCCAGACTTTCTTATCATCAATTATTCATAGCATTGTGATCAATTGCTTCAATTAGTTTGGTGGCACTTTGTGCTTTCCTTTTCTCTACATTGATCAATTATTCAAAATTTGAATCAGGTCACCATAAAATATAACTGAAAAACATGAATTGATCCAGTGGCTGGTTCGTTTTGTTCTTCAAATATTCGGAATAGTGTAGTCCCTACTCCATGAAATTGCACTAAACACATGGATGAATTAGATAACGAATCCCACAGTTCAGTTTTGACAAACATTCAATGGTATCCAACTGTTGGGACACGTAGAAATTTTGACTATTCGATTGCTGTGGGAATCTACCAATCTTTTTCAAGTTCCAGGGTTTTGTTCTGCTTGTTGACACCTCTGAATTCATCTTTACATAGTCCGATGAGAGTGTGGGTATGAGCAAGTATAAGGGCGAAGAGAAAAACTAAGTCCATTCTTATCCATTGATGTTCACCCACACCTCATAGTTCCATTGTTTTTTCTTCACTAAATTCCTATAGACGCCCGCATTACAGGTACATATGCATCTTTTGAAGTGAAACACAAGTGAATCACACATTGAAAGAGCTATTCTATTTCCCTTTCTCATAGAAACATACGTGCTGTACAATAGTTATTCGCTGGTAATATTTCAGGCATGTATATTTTCTATCAACCTTTTGTTTATTATCATTTTCAAAATGCTTACTTTTGATTTACTAGATATCACATTAGTTAAAACATTGAAAAATAAGTCTTCGACTGTTGCCAAAAACAAAACATTCAACATATTAGAGTCATCGGTAGTAAACGATGCTAAGCCAAATTGTTGGCGAGAACAAAAGGCACATACATGCAGAAAAGTTTTGCAAACATGTCGTGATCTTCTTAACAAGTCAGGCATTCATTCAGTTGTTTCAATGAAAGCAGCTGGATTTACGTAGACCAATGTCGGAGATACCGCTCGGTGCGATCAATGTCAACTCGAATTATCTGGTTGGACAGCAACTATGAGCCCTTTCGCTATCCATGCAGAACGTTGCCGAAACTGTACTTTTGTTCAAGCAATGCAACTATCGAAGGATTTCGTTTTATTTTCCTCCGTTTTTTTCACAACTAACTAATCCATCGAACGAGAAAGTGAAGTCTACTATATACCAGAAAATCGAAGAAAATATTAAAGAGAGAAATACTTTTGATACATTGAGAGAAGTAGACACATTGAAACAAGTACGTGATCGAACTTTTTTACACTGGTCTCATCGTCATGCACTATCTCAAGCACAAATGGTTGAAGCTGAATTCTTCAGTTGTGAGGTTGGTGATCGAGTTAACTGTTTATACTGTAATCTCATTTGTCAACAATGGAAATCGTATTTAGATGATTCATACGAAGTACATAAAATTTTGTCACTTAAATGGTCGTTTGTAAAAGCCATGCTCTTACATCTTGACAAAGCATATATTCTTATTATAAATGAAACTAAAGTAAGAGATCATTCAGAAAGTGCTACTTCTCAAATATTTTATTCAAATTAAATTGTTCATACGACCACTTGCCATGCTGGTGACATTAAGTTTCCTCAATGCAAATATGCAAAACAACTCTGTGGAGATAGACTTTATCGAAAAATTTAACAATCAAAATCTATTCAACAAGGTTTGCTAATGATCTTGTATTTAATTAAAAATCAAAGAATTAATAATTCTCTTCTTTTTTTAGAAAGTTCAAGAGGAACCGATTTAGTGAATAAATCGAGTTCTAATGATCAGAAAATAGAAAAACACGTTGAGAGTAATCTATCACGGGTTGTAGTTGTTCGATTGGACTTGGCAGTATCACAACGATTACTTGATCAACATTTCAAACTATCGATAATTAAACATTGTTGGGAAGATCAACTTCGATTTAAGTGTAGATATAGAAATAAGAAAATTAATCGTATTTTTCAACTAGATAATTGCATTCATTTTCTATTTTCATTCTGTAGAAGACGATTTTCCAACAGATTGTGATCTATCGAGGGCTTGTATTATTCTGGAAAAGGAAACATATAGGTTTTAATCTAAAAAGAAAATGAAATGAAGTTATTCTACTATCATTTAATTGATAATTGTGTAGAAGTTCAAACCGTATCATCATCAGTTCCAACATTTGCAACAACACTTTTATCTGATCTATCAAATGATTCTCTTATTAAAATAACTTCATCGACTCAACATGCAACTAATGAATTTAACTCAAGACTAACAGACAAAACAATAGAAGCCGAGATGACAAAACCAGAAAATACATGTTCGATGTATACTGTATCTGAACCGATGCAAACAACGAATTGCTCGTTAAAATATCCATGTGCACTATGTATCAGCGAAGAAAAACAAATTGCATGTATTCCATGTGGTCATATGACCACATGTGTACTATGTGGATATTTACTCAATTACTACCTTCTGTTGATACATGTCATTAAATAATCGTAATTTATTAAAGTTAGTATGAAAGCATTGCCTGTCTGTAATATAGTTACCATATGGTAACTGCCGTACAAATGACAATCAAGTAACTATGGTACACATAACTATGTAGAATGACAAAAAGAATAACTACCGATTAAAATTAAAATTAAACGAGAATTAATGTTCCAAGATGAATAATATGAAATCTATATACACTGGATAGTTCATTGTATATGGCTGTATTTTGATGTATTACATTTCAGATTAATCATACTCAGTCGTGCACGTCTGTTTACCAATCATTTATGACGAAAAACTGCAGCTGTTTAAGCCCCCCCCCCCCCCTCAGAAAAGTCAATTTCGGTCAAATTTATCGATTTTGTGATTCATAACTCGTTAGATAGAGCAAAGTGTCTACTCTCGAATGTACTATAGTTGATTGATTTTATGATGAGATTTAAAGATATTACATACGATTTTCTGAACCTTCATATTGAAAAAATAAGGTTTTTAAAAACTTATTTTCCGTTTTTCTCAAAATCCATTTTTTCGAGTATACCGTTTACGCGGGCAAGCCTTGCTTAATAATGACTCAATATAAAAGTGGTAATGCTTTTTTGTTATAGAGCAGACACTTGGGGCTAGGTCGTAATAGAGCCCGATTTTTGAATTTCTCCTTTGTTTAAATAAAAAACTTAGATCTTTGATTTTAATTAGCGATTTTTTGGCCGCAAATTTGAGAATTTTTCGAAAATTTTTTTTTAAAAACCAAACAAAGGGAAATTAAAAAATAGGGCTCTATGACGACCTACCCCTAGGGGTACTCTACAATTTAAAAAACACGCCGACATGCTAAGCTAGTATCCTCATGTTGACAACCTTGCCCGCGTAAAGGGTATTTTTGATCAATTAATTGACTATAACTCGTGAATGGCTCGCAGATTTCGGGAGATATTTTAACCATAATCTATTCTAGCCAAGACTAACATTCTCTGAAAATTTTGGTTGAAATCGGATGAAAAATAAAAAAGTTGGTTTCTGAGGGGAGGGGGCTCTTAATTCGAATACTTCAATATTTTAGTATCAGTAAAGTACGATGAGATATTTTGATTCAAATGTCACATAGACTTATATAAAATGAATGAAATTAATATTCTTGCAATACATAATGATAGTAAATTTCATATAATTAAGAAACTCTAGAGGATATCTATAACAGTGAAATAGAAGTCTTTCTTAATTTCTGTACTGATTCAAAGTAGATACGACTATTATTGCATGAGAAAAGTGAAAAATGACTCATGTCAATCTGATCGGTTTAAACTGATATCGATATTAGTAAGAAGAAGCCTCTACTTGTTGAAATACTGTTATAGACAACTGCATGGTTGCTTACCATGAAGATGCTTCTAGAACTCTTGTGTCTTAATGCTACTATAGGCAGTAGCAATGAATTTTTCAAAAAATAAAATAGTTATAAATATACTAGATGCTATGAAAGGATTATGTCACGAGTGATAAACGACTGACTCTGAACTGTATTGAATAGGAATTATTGTTGTCTTATGGTGTCTATAGATAATCATGAGCATTTGTGGTTCGTATTCAAAGTGGCCAGGCCATCCATTTAAATAACGGTTTACGACGAAAGCAGAGCACTTAACATTGATGGTTTATTAAATCATTTATAGCTGATACGCGCGATACCATTCAAACAGTATTCATATTCAAGAAATTCTACGTTAATTGTTAAGAACATTTTTCTACAGTGATTGTTTCTAATGACTATGGTGCATTCTCATGTATCGTGTACGATTGCTCTACATGGTTGGCATAGATAATTGTCGTTTTCCTTCGTAATTGATTGATATTATGCCTATATACAACTATGCATGGGTGTGTATGTGTAGTTGAGAAGAGTAATTACTCACATTCACATCTACATCTTCTAGGCTATAAGATAGACTTTGGAAAATGTTTTCAAATTTCCACTAAAAACAGAACAAGTGTTCAATCAATTTTTAAATTTATTTTCATAGCATATGTCTTTAATGTTTTCAAATAGAAATAATACTTTAAAGAATTGTAGAAAATATGCATTGATGATGATGACTTTTCAAAAATAATGAAGATAAATTAAAGAAAATTCTTCCTAGAAAATGTTACTCGTTCGATTATACACTATTCAAAAGGATTTTTGTTCTTGTGAATGAAGGTATATTATTCTGAAAAATACTTGATATATCAGTTTATTTTCTAACGTAAAGACTAAAATCGATTGGATTTGAAATAACTAACATCTTTTCGATCGAATGAAATTATAATTTCGGGAAAGCAACGTTTTTCTTTAATACAATAAATCATTATCAAGTTGAATCATCAAAAATGATCATTAAAAACATATTGCAATATTTATTATTAAAAATCTTATATTTACTTAGTATCTACATGGAAAGACATTTTATTTTATTTATACTAAATGTTATAGCTTGCAACATAACTTCCTGAATACAGTTGTTATTTCCTTGGAAGTTAAAGAATAAATAACAACATCCAATGCAGAATTTGTATATCCTAACCATGAAAATATATTGAATATTAATTCATGATTCTCTTCATCTTTTAAACGCAAATTCCAAACGCCACTCAATAGAAAATAAACATGATATGGTAACCAACAAAAAACAAACACGCCCATAATAATACCGACGAATTTTCTAGCTTTTCGATTTATTGAAATTCGTTGCCAAGAATTTTTTTTTTGTTCGTTTTTTCTTTGATATCTATTCACAGATTTTTTGTATTGTCCATTATTCTGATTGAACTCTTCTACACTTGGATTCTTATATTTACCATAATGTATACGAAGAGTTAATACTTCATCTGGTGGTCTACGCGTCTGTAATAACATTTCTGATTTTTCATTTACATTTTCATTCGAAATGTTTGCTCTTTCTTTACTTTGAGATTCTTTTCCAGAGAACATTTGTCTCAAAGAAACGTTCCTAAAAAATGATTTTTCAGATTGCATCATATACTGACACTTATAGCCAGAATGAAGTGCGAAAACTTGTTTTTTAGCTGCTAAATACATTTGAATGTAAACATAAATCATAATGATTAGAGGTAGATAAAATGATGTAATAGATATGAATAATACGTAATATGGATGTGTTGGAACATTGCATTCGTATAATGTTAATACTGGTTTAATTATTGTCTCATTTAATGTATTTAATCGTTCTAAATTTGACATAACAATAAAATTTAGTGATATAGTCTAGATAAAAACACAACATTCTACATCTATTTTCTTTTCAATATATTGTAGTAACGAATTCTTATAGATACTTGATGTTTGTTGAATGAAGCAAAACAAGGCTTGCTACCAGAGTGTGAAAATCTTCGATTCAAAACGTTTACTAAAATTTTATGAATAAGCTGCACTTACTCGATTCTTTTTGCATTTAGATTTTGATTTTTCAGCGAACTTCCTTATAGTGTCCTGTAACTGGATCAGATACAAAAATATGGCATATCCAGTACTCGACCGGTATTTGGTCGAACGCGAACTTTTCAAATTATTTTACCTTTTTCAAAGTGCTATTTTTGTAGCAGCATAAAAATGAGAATCGGTTCGATCAATATTGGACGATTAATTGCATTTGAGAATAGATCACAGAAGTGAAAATCAATTTTGATTTTATTAACGAAATTCGTTTCTAATGAAAATTTATTCAGAGATTTTGATATACCAGGTGATAAAGTATCTGAATATATTGAGAGACAAATGAGCTTTCTATAGGTAAAAATGTGTTTTCAGAAAAGAAAAAGCATCAATCTATATAATTCAGTAACTATATCGTTTGATATAATCAACACGTTTGATTTCAGCTTTATCAACAACAAAAGAATATATGCTTGTCAAAATTGAAAAAAGTTTAGAAAGAGAAAGGAAATCAAAAGAATCCTGATCCATTTACCTATCTGTAAAGCGTTAGATCAATTTTCTTTTTATTGTTTCTTAGAGAAACTAAACAATATACTCTGTTTATGCAAAGCAAAAGTTTGAACCTGTACTAATAGTGAGACAGTATGTGTTGGGTTTTGATCAGCTCCGGATCGGTTTCGATCGAGTATCGGATAGAAAAAAAATGAATTAGATCGGATCTGGGTACAAAAAGTTGTACGCGTGCAGGACACTACTTTCTTATCATACTAAATTATTCTAGTGATGAAAGTATAAAGTTTAGCAAAAAAAAAACCATTTTTATTAAAAATTTGATTTTCTCTCTCGAGCTGTCCACATAACGGTCCACCTATTTCGGCAAAGTCAGAAAAACGCAAAATTCATGCTTTCATTATATAATTTTTACATTGTCAAAAGGATGATGTGAGATGTTTTCTTAATCATTCTTTCAGAGATGTTATTAATTTGTTCATTTCGGGGAAACTACAATTAACTCGCTGAAGAAATGAACGTCAATCAAAATATGTCCTTTTTAAAAATCGTTATTCCGTCACGACAATTTTTTCTACGTGTGAGGCGAAGCTATCATATATTTGAATTGTTTTTTTTTCTATGTATAGCTCATCATCTCAGCTACAACTTTTCTATAGAAAAGTTTTTAATCACACTCGTAGATGAGCTAAAATTTTTAGTTCTTCACACACCACTGAAACCCAGAGTCCATTTTTGGTTATTCCGTCACGAGCATGTGTTTTAGTCATAAAAATGTAAAAGAAAGACAAAATCTTGTGAAACTTTTATGCTGTGTAGGACAGCTCGATTTACATATTTTTTCAAAATTATCAGCCCTATTTGACTTCAATCTGTTGAGATATTTCAGAGATACAGTGAAAAAAACGTTATTCCGTCACGCTTGGACAGATTGCTCTCATAAATTCAATCGGTCATTTGAAAACTTGTTTTTTGTATAATTAAGATAGTCGATGCTAGTACTAAACAATCTGAAACAAAGCCAAAAAATATGACTAGCTTTCTGAGTGAATAGAATTCTTTTCTAAATTGAAAAAGTTGAAATGCACTTTTTCACTTCAACTTGTTCCTAAGATTGTTTATTCTTTCACAAAACATTTTAAATCGAATATCTTTACACAGTTTTGGCGTAGAATCTTTATGACTTTACTTCAATTATCAAAATGATTTTTAAAAATGAGTGAAAATTCAACATCTGACTTTTGACTCATTGGATCTTAGTGATCCGTGTTTAAAGTAAACGAGAGTTCATGACTATCTTTTTGGTTCAATGTCTTCCATCAATCAGCTCAGACTACTGTATACACTCATGTTCAAGAAAAATATTTAGGCTTCTTTTAAAAACAAACTTTATTCTCACAATTGCCTAGAATTTATCTGTTTTATTGCTGCACATGCAAACTTAGATAATTTAAAGACTATTAAGATGAATGTGCAACAATTTCAACACTACACTACAAAACAAAAATATTCATTTTTACATACTAATAGATTTTTCTCTTCCAATAAAAATTACAGGCGGAACTGATGTAACAGCTGAAAATATCCATATAAATGACAACACCCAACACCATCTTTTTGATATAAATGAAGTATGATATTCCAATGGCCTTGTTATAGCCACGTACCGATCTATTCCAATAGCTGACAGTCCAAATATTGATGCTGTTGTTCCGAATGCATCCATGGAATAGAAAAAATCGCATAAAAAACTAAGATGTCGTGCAAACAACCAATACTCATCATCTGTCATTTCAAATATGAAGGCTAACGGCATTCCAATCAGTCCAACTAATAGATCAGCAAATGCCAATGATGCAATATAGTAATATTTAGATGTATGTAACGTAGAATGGCGTATTATAACATATAGAATCAGTAGATTACCTATTATAGTGAACAGACATAACACTGATAAGAAAAAACCAATTGGATACGCTTGCCATTTTATATCTGTTAGTGTTGTATTCCTTGTTAATGAAAACAACTCCATAACTAAATAAATGAAATAAAAACTGATTAGAAACTCATTGCCCTATCTCTATCATTCAGATCTGTTAGGTTTCGTTTTCTTCTATTCCAACAATATAATAGGAACCTCATCTTTTCATAAAGAAAAAACGAAATAAGAAAATAAAAAAGATGTGACCTTTTAACAATCATGCGCATCAGCAATAAAAACGACTACTAATTACAAATATATCTGACTAGAGAGAAGAAAAAAAAAGGTAGAATAGAGAACAAGATGAAGCTTTGTCCATGCATAAATATGTATTATAGATGGCGATTCTAACAAGATCAACTCTTTTTTTTTAAATAAAACTAGATCTAAAAACATGTTAGACTTGGTTGAGATTTTGGTATATACGAAGTTATACAGAGATTAACTATGTAAATATTAGCTGACAGACTATTCTTATGAGACTTTTAGCACACCCATGTAAACACCAGACGCAGGATATATGCGTTCCACCGCGGTTTTATTGTAAACTGCATTCAGACGCGGCTAAAATCGATTTTTACTGCGTCTAGATGCGATTTTATTGCAACAGCGTCCAGACGCGGTTGAAGAAAGTTTCCAAGCGCGTCTTGACGCGTTGATAAATGAAATCGCGTTTGCACGCTGTTAAAATCGATTTTTAACTACGTTTCAATGCGGCTGCAGATAAAATCGTGTCTAGACGCGGCCATAAGAAATTTTGAATCGCGGTTGAACGCGGTTTTTTTATGCAACCGCATGCAAACGCGCTTCCATATGAATACCAATCACAAGATAACCGCGTTCAAACGCGGTTTTGTTATAAACTGCGTCCAGATGCGGTTGAAAACAACTTTGCACCGCGTCTGGCCGCGAATTCGTATGAAACGCGTCTAAACGCAGGTAAGAAAATGTGAAAAATGCGACTAGACGCCATTTTAAATAAAAGACATCTAAATGCAATTAAAAAAACATTCTTAACAGCGTCTAGGCGTGTTTTATGCTTCAACTGCATTTTGATGCGGCTGGAGCGTTTTTAGTGATTGCGTCCAGACGCGTTTGCACTCCAAAAAATATTCATCAAATGTCTAGTAAATGTGTTCAGACGCTGTTCTATCTCGAAAGAGTATGAATACAAAAATATTGTGTTGAAGACAAAATTAAGGATAAAAGCCATCGAAACACATTTGAATTTTTTTTTCAACAACTGAACGGATATGTATCTTTCACGTGAAACACACATAATTCAGCTAGAATTCACCGAGTGTATGTGTCTGACTCATTGAAATTTTATTCAGTATTTTAAAGATAAAAAGCTTTTCCAACACGCATAGAAATGAAGAAAACCCAATCATGTAAAAAATAGAAATCAAATATAGGCTATTATGGGCAATTTTTATAGATAGTAGATGAAATTACTTATACCGATCTCCCAGCATACCCATAATTTTCGGCCAATCTTACGAATAACACTGATTAAATTGTGTAATTAATAAATGATCATTATAATTCAACTATATAGTACAATACAGGTTTTAATTGTAGTGTTTTGAATAAAATTATCCGCGATATTACAGTCGTAATGTTATTTTTAAAAATCATTTTATATTGATTATGATTAGAAGATGGCAAAAAATATGCAATTGTATTTTAAACTGTTAAATCTGTCAGAAAAAAAATGAAACAAAGCGTTGAGTATTTTGCATAGGTAGAAGTAAATTTCACTGCGCTGATGAATTTTAGTAGAGTGAAGATTCAAATATATTTCGTCTTGAACGAGAAAACATTTCGAGCTAGTATAATAGTTCAGTGGTGTATATGCATGACTTCTGATCGATGGTTCACTTGTTCAATTCTGACTTTCATCACTTAAGGTAAAAATTCAATTCATTCGCCAAAGTAGGCTAAGACCATCACGACATGACATTGATGGCTACTCATTTCGAATGTGAGATGAATTGATATTTTATTTTTTCCATTTCGATTGGAACGCGTTTGGACGCAGTTATTACAACCGCGTCTAGACGCAAGAAATGTTTTACTGGGGACGCGGTTCTTGCGTTTTTCCTTTCCATTTCACACACAACGAATCGCATTTCAGACGCGTTTTAAAGTCAAAAAATATTTACATGGGAGAATGAAAATTAATTCTTATGTAGCAAGACAATGAAGATANAACGTTCTGTTAGAATACATATTTGAGAGAGCGATCTATGCAAGACTAACTCCTCTACATTCTGAGACTTCTGACATTGGAAAACTGATCAGCGAGTGAATGATTCAATCTTGAAAATATACATAAAATAGACTCATCATTAAATTGAACGACTTTAAAAAGGGATAAACGACTTTTTTTTATCAAATTCAATTTCACCTTTTGGTGTTCCAGTACTTCCAGTAGTATGCATAATAACTGCAATATGGGGTGTGGGTGTGGGTTGGCGTCGGTGTGTGTATTGATGAAAACAAGATTGACACCCACACTCACACCCACACCCACACCCACACCCACACCCTTCCTTACTTTCTCGAACTTTTATTTTAAGTCAAGATAGACTAATCATAGATTTATTTATTCTAATATTTGAACTTTGGAAATGAATACTTTCGTTGATGTCCGCCTGGTTGCTCAGTGTGGGGATCTAGGCAAAAGATTGTCTCTCCTGGGAAGTTATCGCGAAGCTATAAAAAGCTGCAGAAAATAGAACATTTTGAAAGAAAAGCCTTCTTCCATCCTATTTCTACTAAAAAATCTTGAGCTGAAGGGAGAGAGAAGAAAACAGAAGTCTAAATAGCCATGATAAAAGAGCATCTTTTATTGTAATAAATATTTCGCATGTCACTGAGAATATAAAGCTTGTGTTATAAATTTTCTTTTTTTACGTTTATTATTTTTTTTTGAAAAGGAGAAGAAACAGAACATTAAGTATAATGATTATTATTTGCTTGTATACTTTATGATCTCTCACGTTAAAATAAACGTCGATGACAAAAAGTTACGAAGTTTGAAAACAACAAAAAAAACCATTTCGGTTCTCACGACATAAATAGATTAATTTCACTCGAACTTTTTCTTTGCCATGTACATGCAAAACTAAAAAATAAATACAAGTATAAAATTAAGATATATTACAAATAAGGTATAAACAAACTTCATCAAATAAAATATATCCACCATGATTAGTATCAATACGTTTGAATTCTTGTCTCAGGCTATTTCCATCTGTACATGAATAACCGATCAGTTCATGCCCTTTTTTAAACTCATTAAAACTTATCCTTTTATCCTTATTTGAATCTAATTGTCCAAATAGATCACTTAATTGATTATAATAATATAATAAGTCAAGAAAACGACGAAATTCTTTAAATTCAATGAATCCAGTCTACAAAGGAAAGATAAATTTTATCAAAAAAAAGCCAACGATTAAAATATAAAACGTACACCATTAGTATCAGCTGCCTTAAAAGCACGAATCATTGCTTGACGATTAGTACCAAATTCAGGATGCCAATATACAATGGCTCGATCAATTTCAGCCAATGATAGTATTCCATTACCATTATCAAATTGTCGAAATAACTGTATTTAATAGAATATTTTCTTTTTTTTGATAATTTGAATAAAGAAATTCATGATTACACGTACTTTCCTACATTCTTCTTTGGTTAAACGCTGAGCCATAGTTGTTGTATTGCAGGAGAATTTACGTGATCCTTGAAATTTCACGTCTGTGCGAGAGAAATGAGAGTCAACGTTGCTTTTTCGTACTTACTTTTCTTTCTTCGTTGTTTTATTTGTTTACTGAGTAATGGTTTATTCCTGGGTGTGGATTTGGTGGGGTGTAGAATGTAGGTATAGATCTGTGAGTAAAATTCTCTCTTTATCCATAGGGTACCCACACTCATTCAAGCATGTCTGATTGGGTGTGGGGGTGTGGTGTGGGTGTTGGTGTGAGTGTGTGGTGTACGTGTCTGGGACAAAGAAGAGTCGCGCATCCAGTCACACCCACACTACTGACCATGCTTCAAATTGTTGCTTTGTAGTGTTTTCATTTGAAGTTACTTCGAAAGAAATGAGAAACGTAGTATTCATAATGATCAATAAAGAATCTATGGTTTCCAGAGGACGCGATATAATTTGGTCGATATGACATATTGTTCTCAGAGAGAACGCTTTGACATCAAGTTCAGACTGACGATAAATGGGGTGCTTGTCAATATTGTATATGAAGATGCAAAGACAAAAAAAAGGCGATTATACCGTGTGAAACATACAAAAAGTCACATTCATCTTTTTTCTTGAAAAAGAATCTGTCGATTGATTATGTTTAACGATGTTTTTCATTTTATAGGGAAGAATAACAAAGAAAACGACAAATATCATGCGAGGCATTCAATCAATTTATGTCCTGTATAGACGTATCAGTTATCTTATTAGCAACAATGGTCATGGCTTGAGAAATCCAATATTATTCTATTGTCGGTCATACAAAGTATATGCATTGTTTTAGGAATCATTGCCGGAAGTATATCTCTAAAATGACTTTTGTATTGATGACTTCGACATTGTCAGAAGAGGTCACATTATATAGCATTCTCCAACAAGCAAACAATCACTTCTGATTTTCGTTATTCTATTTCAGTGTCATAATCGTCATGTAAGCATGATCCAGTGAGAAAAGTATTCCTCCTGCAATTATATACGGATAATTGTCTTTTTTTTGAAAGACTTTCTCTCGCATAATAAACTTCAATAGTTCGTCAATTTTCATGAATTGAAATATGCCTGTTTTAAAGTCAGACTACCATTGTCTAAAACAGTCATGCAAATAAATTAGTAGGCATATATATTCGTACTCGACGTTTAAGAATTTAAGATTTTAAACAAAGAAGTTTGATTTCTATGCTCGTAGAAGGTCAGTTACAGCGACATCTACATCAACAATCAATTCACAGTTTTTTATCATATTTTCTTCTTCGTAAAAGTGCCAACACCTACACTCAGAATATTATTTCAGATGATGAAAGGGATATTATCTCGGATGTGTTTCAATTTCATCGAAGACATTGCATAAATTTCATCTGTAATAAAAGCGATAATATTACTTGAATAAAAATATTCATTTCCATTGATGAAATTGAAATACATGAAAAACAATGTCTGTTTTATCATTTTAATGATATTTTTTTCACTTTTTAAGACCTTGAGTAGCAACCTTCTTTTCCCCATTACAAATTTTAGCGACCAGAGTTAAAAAGCGCTGAACGAGATTAATAAGAAGGTTTGGAAGGTTCGAGAACATACCTAAACCTTCTTGGAGATTCGAATGATTACACTATGCTGTTGAATATTTAAAACGATGAGGTTTTGACTTTCGAGCACATAAAAACTTGCATCCAACATTTAACAGGTGGATGTGATTATAAATTTATTTCGGCTACAGCCGCATCCCCATTCCAATTCTCCTATTATCAATAATATTATTCGTAAAGTCACCCTTTCATGTGATCGCTTTTGTTTCTTTAAACTTGTACATGACGTAGATAACCACTTTTTTTAGAGATAGTTTAATAAGTATTCATTTTTTTTCTTTTAGTTTTACTGCTATACTAAAAAGTGGGTCTAGGCTAACTTAACTATAAGAGATCGAAATGAGCTTAAAATTTAGGTTTGGTGGTTCTAGTTGAAGCCCTCTCTAGGATGCTGATGTGTCTAAGTGTACGGAAAATACAACTTTGTCTTATGCATATAAGATGAGACTTATGTCACAATTAGAGAGACAAGGCACATACTGTACATTGTTATCCGAGGCAAATAGAGAAAAGTCGGTAAAGTAGAAGAAAATATTGTGTAGTACATAGCTGCTTGTTCTACTAAGCTTTTACATATTCTCTTTTACAACTTCTGAATGAAGAAAGGTGTGCGAAGAACAAGTTCCACATTGACATGAAGATATCTGTTTCAAAAAGAGCACAAAACTGAATGGTTGACAGAGTTGAATTCTATTTTGAACTAGTGTAACACTTTTTTGCACTCACACAAACAGTCTCAATAGTGTGTTCCGTATCACCGTAAGGTTCATTGGATTCATTAACAGAGAGATAAGAATGAACGAAGACCATGTGTAGCATCGTCAGTAACAGTTAAGAATAAGTTCATATTAACATAACGTATATCTGGCGAAATCACTCGTCCTTGTTGTATGGTATTGTAAAGATGTCGCACTCCTTTATAATCATTTTGATTCGAAACAAGGTTCGGTGTGCTGAGTGTCTGTTTCAAAAGAAGTATCAATGAAACAATGAGAAACTGCTAATATTACTTCGCTTTGTTGGAGAGTGATGGCAACATTTGTGCTCCATGAAGGCCGATTTGATAATAATACGTATTCTACCATAAAGTCAGCTCCTTTATTAATAGTGAAATGAAAGATAAAATGAAAAACTAATCATATTACGTGAATTTTTAGAGGATCCTCGGCAAAGCGTTGAACTCCGTAATGAGAGATTGAGTTGCCAGTGAGATCTAGTGTAATGAGTGTCTGTTTTGAATAACAGATAAATGATAAAATGAGACAATAGCTATATTACGTGGTTTTGTTGCAGAGCATCGACAAGATATTGTGCTTCTTATGCATTTATTTGATTACGACTGAGGTCTAGTATGATGAGTGTATGTTTCAAACAAGGAGTGCATAAAAAGATATATACTAGGCTTTTACGTCGTTTTATTGCGGAGCATTGGCTAGATATTGTGCTCCTTGTGCATTTATGTGATTGCGACTGACATCCAGTGTAGCTAGTGTCTGTTTCAAACAAGGAATGGATGACAAAATGTATATCTTGCATGTTACGTGGTTTTGTAGGAGAGCATCAGCCAGATACTGTGCGCCGCAATCACTGAGTTCCTTGCTGCTAAGGCTCAGTACTGTGAGTGTCTGATTTAAATATGAAGCGAATTGTGAAATAAGAGGTCATTTATGGTACTTGGTTCCATTGGAGAGCGTTGGCAAGATGTTGAACTCCGTGTGCTTGAATTGTATTTTCACTAAGGTCTACTGTGGTGAGTGTCTGTTCCAAAATTGCGATTAAATGATAGAACATCAAGTGGAAATGTTACATGATTTTGTTGAAGGGCCTTTGCAAGATGTAGAATTCCTCTTGCGCAAAAATGGTTGTATTTGAGCTTCAATATAGTGAGTATCTATTGTAAAGACGAACTATTTCATAGGATGAAGCAGTGATATTACCTGAGTTTGTTGAAGAGCCTCGGCGAGACATCGTGTTCCTGGGGCACCTAAGTACCTCACGCTGAGGTCCAACGTANTTCCTCCTCCTTCTGTTCTCTTTCAATTGTTCTAATATATCTCTCTTCTGTCTCTCTTCTATCTCTCTCCTATATATACATGTGTTATGCATGAAATTGTTACACTCTGGATATGTGAAGAAGCGAATAAACATCATTGCCGAGAGTGGCGGTAAGCTACTCCACCTCTATTCAGTTTGTCATTACGTATCAACCCAGTCAGGGCCTTATTGATCGTTACACTCACATTTAATTTTACCTGAAAGTTCTTTCGTTTGAAATGTAACATATGCTAAATTTTTTTTTTCATCGACTACTGATTTTCTACATATCACATGTATTTGAATTTGTGCAAGATAATATTTTTGAAATCCTCTTCAACGTTTTGTAAACTTCAACAATTATGAGTTCACGATGTAATGTAGAAAGAATATTTTATTTTTGATGCATTTCAAAAATCTTAGTAAACGATGCTTAAAATAATATTACAGAGCACAACAAATGCACACCTATAATATACGACATTGACTAGGTCTAACACATTTTTTAACGTTATTAAAAATATTTTTTTTCTTGCTTATCTGTTTCAAAATATAAAAAGCATGCTTTTTTTGTTTGATCTAGACTTTAGTCAAGTTAACTGGGCTGAATTCCAACTGATCAGGTTCAAGACACAATTTTCTGGTAATTTTTATTTTGAGTAAGGTCGTCTTCACAATGAAATCTTCTCCTTCTCAAATATCAATCCTTATTATTCTTAGACATGTTGAAAATAGAAAGAAGACATACAGGCTAACAGAATAAAATCAGTGAATTCAAGCCAACTTTGATCATACTCTCAATGGTATTCCTATAGAAGATTAACTAATCATATTTTACTTAATTACATACTACTCAATGTAGACATGCTTGATTCGTTCCCTAAAGTAAAAAATCAGATATTCTCTCATGTTCATAGCTCAATTAAGCAAAATAAAAAGGGTATTTTAGTCAATAAAACTAATATCACCAACTTTAGGTCGACTTCCACCGAAGCAACTCCAGCAAACTATAATACCATCTAGAGATAAAATATTATATGAGAACATGCTAATAAGAACTCTTACTCCTAGTTAGAAATACATAATTATGAAAAATGTTTTTTTTTTAACTTGAACTTTTGATTATAATTATGAGAGTTTTGTATAAGAAATTTAAGTTTTTTGTTTGGAAATTCCTCCCAATCATCTATTTATTTTTTATTTTCATTGTTTCTCACACTAGACATGCTAGTATATGGTTATCTCTTCATGTGTACATGACAACATACATATAAACGAACATAATAAACAAGTCAATTATTAGCATAGTTAATCAATTCGTCTTCATATATCTAATGCATGTAATTGATCCATTCGGTCTTGGTGAACAATATACAAATGTTAGTAAAGATATGACTACATGAAAAAACATATCATCGTCTAAACCTAATACATGTGATAATAAAGAGAAAGGTATGCGCACATTTAATGATTATCTAATAGGTATTATTTTGGTATTGATTATAGTGGTGACAATATTTACGCTGGTAGAAACCAAAGCTATGATCACATTTAGAGTAATTGTGTTATCGATATTATTACTGTAGGTCTAGTAGATATAATAGCAAATGAAATGACAATCAGTTGCAAGAAATGTGAACATACAAAGAAGGGTAAAAAGATGAAAAAAATACCTGGGCGAGCTCTATCAGTTTTTGATATTAGCAGCAGTGAAGTAAGTTTAGTTTACTTTCCTTATTACAGATTTAAGTAAGGAGTATGGATGTAGGCTCAATCCAAGAGAAGGCTCAAACCACCATCCACTAAATTAGAAATGGAATAGATGAGAATCAGGTTATGACTCTAAATCATTCGTGGGTGCCCATAGGCTCCTAAGAGAAAATCTTCAATACTCATCATACGGCTAAAGCTATTTATTCGTGGAAATTATTGAAATGAAACTCTATCAAACTGGCACGATTAAGAGTGAAATTCATTGAAGTATGGAAAGAAAACATTATGATTGATGCAATACATTCATGGTCCCATTCTTAAGCATAATATGTATGCGAAATCAGTACATCGGCCAAAATCCCGAGTTGATCTTCGGTGAACTTTTCTCGATGTTCATGCCATGAATCATGATGAGTACGACGAAATTCAGAGAAACACAGCTTGATCGATTTCTAAAAGGAAAACAAAATCTTATTTATTCGTACAAAATAATAGATAAAAAAAATAAAAGTCATACCTGTATAATATTAGGATCGTGCGAATGTTCACAAAGAAGCATTAATGCGTCTGGTACATAGGTTGGAATACTGTATGGACTCGCAAGAACGATAGCACATAGACCCAAAACACCTACAGTCATGATGACAATGATTACTACGAGCACAAATAAAGACAAGATCACGCATGTACTCCCAGAATTTCACTGAAAGTCATACCCACAGGCAATCACTTTTCTCGTTGATTTCTACTTGACATGATAGTTCAAATTACACCCAAAATCCAGAAAATATAAGAGTTAAATAGAATTAAATAACGGAGGTCCTCAATTAGAATCTATTTTCGACTATTGAAAAATTTATATTTGATACTTCGAACGACAATTTTTTATCTGAATTTAGCGACAAACTGACCTTCAGCCTTTTTCTTGACCTATTATACTTAATACATTAATATGCTCTTTTTTTAAGTTATGAATCTCTAGTTTTCATATATTCAATTCATAAATGAAAATGTGAGTTCAAATGCTTGAGCATACTCACCGCCATGTCGTTTGATAATATCTTTTGCCGATGTCACTTTTTTGCCATTGATTTTCGTAAAATAATTGGTCTTGCTCATCACACGAAAATGATTCTTATAGGATAAATAACTTGAATGTTGTTTTAAGCAAGAAAAAAAATAAAAAAAAGTCGCCCTACCAAATCTTCAGGAGTTACTTGAATGTAGTTACATTGATAGAAACCTGATAGAGTCATTGATGCGACTAATCGTATTTCGAGCTGTTCATCGAATAGACATTTAAGTACAAGTACATGTAATCGTTGAGCATATGGACGAGCATTGAATAAATTCCAGAAGATCATACTTTGAGCGAATTGAATAGCTGCTCGACGTGCATTCCACTTTGGACTTGTACACACCTAAAAATCTAATGTGATACTATATATGATTGATTTTTTGAAAATATACTTGTTCTAATTGTTGAATGAGTGCTTCCAAAAAATTGGCATGTAAATAGGCCATACCGAGATGATGTCGACTGATTGCCAAATAATTTTTGAAACCTTCATCATTAGCTGCAATACTTTCAATTTCACACAGCTGAACAAATAAGAAAATAAAGAACAGAGTTGATAAATTCATGAATAGTTAAAGCCGATACGCATACATAAGGAAAAATACGAATGATTGCATTTTTCACTGGTTGTTCACACCATAGGAACAAATTTGTATGAAACTGAACCACTAAAACATGAGTACATGTCAACATTTTTTCAAACATCGAATCTTGAAACTTAACCTGTTTCAATGAAATTGAACGCTTTACGTGTTTCGTCATGACGCTCAAGATTTTGATCAAAGATGTTGACTAAAAGTATTATTTAAATCGAATAATAATAATAATAATAATAATCTATCAAAAACAATAGTTTACTTCGAGGTGTCTTTTCATAAATTTCAATGACTTGACGTAATTGTTCACATATAGTGTCGATAAATTGATTGAAATCGGGATGACGTGTCGATCTTCCATTAAACAATGTTACATCGAAACTGAACGATATTGCCAGTACACTAATTGTAAAAAAAGAAACAAATAAATCGATATTGTTTTAACATTAACAAGTAGAACTTAAAATTTCAATCTCACTGAGCAATACGTTCTCGCACAGCTTTGAATGGATGATTGAGTAGTTGTTTGCCATGTTCATTAATAGTACACCAAATTGATGGGACACGCCATTGAAAATATCTCAAATTTTGTATTAAAGACCAACGAGCTGTTTCATTGAATGTATTGGATGTTCTATCATTATTAATCAATAGACAAATAAATTCAATCAATCGATGCATTCGACGAGGATCTTCGTTTTCCTTTTAGACATAGAAATTGTTTAAGGAGAGAAAAAGAGAGCAAGAACAACTCACCATGGCGTATCTGAAGCATGAACTCCAGTAAATGAGAATATCAGGACTCAGACTGTTGCAAACTTCAGTGAGAAATGGTGTAAGTTTTTTCCAAAGTTCGTCAAGCTAAATTGAGTATTATATTTTCCTGGTATTCGAATATATCTCGAGAAAAAAAATGGGCTCTTTTTCTGAAAACTAGAGTTCAATGACCAAATGAAATCACCATAACCAAAGAGATGCAATATTTCAAAAATGAAAAAAAAAAATCCTACTCACCATCTCCAATGTCCAATGTTTTGAGCCACGAATCAAACCAGCGACAATTTCAGCAGCTGTTCTATGACTACCTTCGTGTTTCTCTTTTGTTTTTTCACGAACAAGTATGTACAATTGTTCCATGAAATTATTGACAAATGCAAGACCAAAATTGCGGAAGAGACCCTAGATATGATGAACATTATGAAAAAGGAATAGAATTGATGATGTTTCAAATATTCTAAATATTTATCATTAGGATACAATCTTCCACAATATTCCTAGAGAGAAGACTCAATTTTTCTTTTGAAGATGATATTAGTGTAAACTTGACTTTTTATCTTTGCCTACTTTAAACATCAAAAATCGAGTTTTATCAAATTTAATTTCGTTCTTCTCTTCATCGAAGACCATCAATTGTATTGATCTTTGAATAAAATTCTTGTCAATGAAACGTTCATATAAGATAGCCACTTGTTCTGGCATATTATTTGCTGTATAGCGTTCTCGTTTATTCATTGAATATTTGATAATATTTGGCCATGTGTAATAACCATAAAATGATTTGTCCAAAAAACATGTTTGTTCCCAATCAGTTTGGGTCTCTGGTTGTTTATAACCATCGATTGTTACCCATACATTATCATGGCGATCACCTGGTTGATGGTCACCACCGACAAGAGTTGGTGCTGATTGACCAATATTCTGAAGAATTTCGTCGATAGGTTTTTCCATACAGATTCGAGGTGGCTTTTGCAAACGACAAATGGCCGTAATGCTCTTTTCTGCATGCTGAACAAATTCAACAAAAAAAAATCAAAATAAATTTTCAAACGAATACCTTTCGCAATTCAATATTATCATGAACAAGAAAGTCCATGAATGTTCGAATACATGATGATGGAATTGGTACACGATTTTGAAGAAGAAGATATAATAATGATATGGCTATCTTTTGCTGTTTCCACGTTCTAAATATAGACGAGAGAAAAGTAAAAATTTGTTAAATCTAATGAAAAAATAAGACTTACAATGTGTTTTTTCTCAATAATAAATTCAAATTTTCCATCAAATTTTTATAAGATTGAACATTCGCTCGATTGCGTTCGTCATGTATTTGTTGACCTGTTTCTATTTCACTCAATGCTAATGGTTGCCATAGAGTAGCTGCTGCATGTATCGATTTCTCGTTAACATTTTCTATCAGTGCTTGAGTAGTAAAAGTTTTAACGATTCTTTGATTAATAGATCCAATCAAATGTTGTGTGCTGATTTTTTTTGCATGACTCGTACATACAATTGATGACCACAATTTTTCCATCATTTTCCATGAGTATTCTGTTGGCAAGAAAAAAGAACCATTACCGAGAAGAATATACAGACAACCCTGGAGAGATCGAAATGAAATAATGAAGTAGAAAGTCGAAAAATATCAACCGACTTTAATACGATCATGATCAGCTACATCCGATGTATTGAGTAATTCAATAATTTGATCGACAATGACTTCGTATGAAAAATGGTAACGATTGAGAATAGAAAATAGTTCTACTTGTGCACTGCGACGTACCTAAGATACGAGAATAAGTTCAATATTTCCGTTATAAAATTGCTTTGAAATGCACGATAGTTCGAATCAGAAAAACCTAGGCTTTAACCTGATGTTTATCAATTTGAGTTGCTTGAACAAATCTTCTTGAAAATATTAGCAAAACAATTGTAGAATAACAAATAAAAACTTTAAGCGGAAACACACTTTCTGTCTGAGTCAGTCAAGCTCGAACGATCACAGTTTTCGAGTAGCATTTGTGCTAAAGATTTGTTAGAAAATAATTGAGATTTTGTTAGACTTTATACTCAACAAGACTTTTGACTGATAGTATATCGATATCTGAATACTAGAGTGAAAAATCTCATTTACTTCACTATAACGATGAATTGACAGTTCGAACAATTTGAGTACGACTTGTTTATCGATTTCGCTCAACGTTCCAAAATAACTCAATTCGAGTTTCTGCAAAAAAATCAAGAATAATTCATCCTATTATTTTCTTTATGCTATACTTGAATACCTCGTTCTGCAACTCCATCTTTTCTATTACCAAAAAACGAGGATTTTGTCGTTCACCAGAATATTTATTTTTCAATAATCTTTTATTAGATTGAAAATCTTGATGTAATTTAGTAACATGATGTTTAAAGACACCATAGTAGACAGATGATAATGAGTAGATCTACAATTAATGATATGCATTTGTGAATCGAATAAAAAATCGTCAGGATGAATGCTAACTCTAAGAGCTGTTTTTATCGATGCAACATCACCAGAATGTTTTTCTAAGAGTACGTCTACAGATGAACATAGGATTTTTCCATATTTATTTATACATTCATATACATATAGTAGACTCACCAATTAATTTTCCAATATCGATGAGAAGACGCATTCGCAAGTTTTCTTGAAATTCTAAAAACGATAACTATTCTCATGATGATTGTTACTTCTTTCGAAACTGTGTTTCTTACTTGGTTCTTTAGAATAAATTGAATATTGCGCTTGATGTTTAGAATCACAGGAAACAACTGATGAAATACTGTTACAAGAATAATACAATGTTTCTATTTGTTCAAATTCATTATCATATCTAATATCTACTTACAGATTTGGTAATTTTTCACTATCAACATGTGGTACCATGCGAAAACATCCAATGGCTATGTGATGAATAAATGTCAGTGATCTCAATCGTTCATTATTAGACATTTTCAAACATTTCTCATTCAATAATCTCAATTCAAGATAGAGAAATGTTTCAACAAATTCACAAGCAAAATCAATTTCATTCTCATTGGGAATATGAAATTGAATTTGAAGATTATCAAAATCGGCAGCTTGTCCCCAAGCCTGAATAATAACATTAATAATCAATCTTACATATGAGATAGAGATTTAAAAAAAGATAAAGGTCTCTTACACGAATAGGTAAAAAATTGACGAATGGTTCATCGAAATTTTCAACTGTTAACTGATATTCCATTGGATAGACATGTGAAAGTGATTTGAGTAAATGTTTGGCTGCACTAGCAACGGCTTCATATGAATCTTTGTGAATAAGATAAATGCATCGATGAAAGATAGACATAATCATTTGTTTGTATATGAGTAAAGTATCACCACGAGCACGGAGAAATTCCGCAAAGAGAATCAAATACCAATTAAGTTCAATATCACCTTTGTGATCAATGAGTAATCCACTTGAATCTGCATGATCCATTATATTTTCAATCGATTCACATGTTTTAGGTAAGAAATATTTAAGTGTTTCAATTGGATTACCCTTGACTAGAGCTCGAATAAGCCCAGCAACAAGTTTTCTCACTTTGGGCGATAAAAATGATCCAGAAAGAAAATCGGATATCTTCTCTCGGATTATCTAAATAATAACTACGTATAAATAGTATACCATATCTCATTCTGAAAAGATGAAATTAATATTAATATATTAAAAAAATGCTTCTATGATGAAAAAATAAGCAACAATGGAAAATCATTATTCAAAAGTGTAGACAATTTTTTACTTTATATAGAAACACCTACTTGAAAAATGTTGCTACTGCACTGTCGAACTATACTAGACATGATTGAAGTAAGTTTCAATTCTATGTTATGATCATCTGTATTCGTTTCGATAGAATGCAAAGTACCATCGGATAATTCTGTTGATAAGATTTCAATCATTTGAAATATTCGATGTAACAATTCAGTAATGAAATCTTCGAATTGTACTGTTGATAAACATACTTCTTTTTCAATCTACAAGAAATCAAGATATATTTTATTTGTTGAAATCATAGTTAAGTCTCACATCTGTCAGATCAGTTCGAATGTGTACAGCCGACGAACAATCAACACATGTAATAAGTTTGAGAATTGTGTCGAGAAATTCTAATGTAACTGTAATCTTTTGAAAATCATTCAAATCAATACCGGGTAATACAGACATAAGTAATGGTAAAACATAGATTTGTCCTTCAGAATACGAAGGAGTTTGTCGTACGATTTGACGAGCAACACGTGTTAAACAACTAATAATTGATGTAAAACGATGTGGTTCAGTCATATTATCAAGGGATGAGAAGAGTCTAGGAAAATAAATGAAGATTAAATGAATCAGAAAGAAACAACAGACTGCTCGACAAGTGATGGTACAATTAATTCTGGTAGAAGCATAGAAAGATATTGACACGCTTCAGCTGCTTCTTTGTTATGATCCTTGTTAAAAATTGAAATAAAAGCATATTCTTTGATGCAGTTGACAAAATCGATAGTATCCTGTTCAGTTAATCGATAAGTTTCGTGTGGTATGAAGAACCAGAATGGACGAACTTTACGTTCACTACGAAATTCTCTATAGATGATACCAATAGCATCCATTCGACAACTATACTCACAAACGAACTCGATCGATAAAATATTGAGCAAGTAGCAAGACAAATTTGACAAGACTCTCTTGAAATTTTCCCGTATTCGATGGATGATAGAAACTTTTAATGGCAATGAATAGATCTTTTAAATATTGAAGACATGAGCTTCCGTTGCCCATCATGGCAACAATCCATCGTGCAACATTGAACATTGAATAATGATATCTATGTGGAGACATATTCATTTTGCCAACTGGAAGCGAAAAACCTCGAAGTATACGAGTAAAGATCTAGCAAACAAAGATTTCAAATAAGTAAGAAAAATAATAGATGAATTTAGGCACTTGTTCTAGCCAAGGTTCCCAATCAATGTAACCAATATTATACCAAGCAACGTGTGAAAAAATTCCGATCAGACGCTAAGTCGAATCATTCAAGATAATAAAAAAGAAATTAATAAACTAACTTACCAATTCCCATACTGTATCATTAGAGATACTTTGCCAAATATGAAAAAATTCTGGTAGCCATAATCTGACGTAATGAAGATAATGAAAAATGAAAAAAAGAGAACAAAAAAAGAACAAACTTGAAGCCTTGACTATGCAAATTTGGAGGTACAGTTAAAGGTAAGAAAATTTCGAACATCTTTATAGTATCGAGAAAATATTGACCGTATGGGCACAATTGTGGACGAAATTGATCGAGAATTTCTTGAGTAGCCGTTGCCGAAAAGTATGGAGAACAACAGCGTACACACCAGAAAAGTGAAACATCGATATTTCTTGAAACAAAAAGATTAATATGAATAGTACACAATGTCGATTTTAGTATTTGATTTCTACTAACTTAGGTAAAGCAACTAATGCACTGGTTTTATTGTGAAGATCATGAATAAGTTGAGCCCATCTATACAATAAACGCCAATCGATTATCAGATCATCGCGTGTGATCATACTTGTTTTCCTGTAAAATGTCGTCATATGATATCAATATTCTTTGATTCGAAGTTCTAATACGAACCGCATGAGATCGAAAAGTGTATCGAAACATATTTCGACATCTGAATAACTCAAATCGGTAATAGAAAGAATAGACAGGTAGAAATTGATAAGCTTAAGATGATCGTCTTTGGTAAAATAGAATCCATAGAGTGAAATAAATCGTTTCAATTCATTGGACCAAACTGCAAAGCCAGGTCGTAATTCGCCAAGTTGAATAGTACGGGATAGATTTTCACGAATCTCTTCAAACAGATCCGAAGCATGTCGTTTAATTGATTTATAGAATGGTAAGTATTTATTATAAATGTTGGGTTTTTGCAGATTGTAATCGGATGTTTCTTGCGCATCTGCATTTGTATCTCGCATGCTTTCTATGGAATAATCATCCATATGAAAGAATAATGTGTTATTATGATAACAAGAAAAAATCTAAAGTATACGGCGGCAACAAGTAGAAATGCATGGATACGAATAAAATCATTTTTGTATTCCTTATAAAATTGGAATTTTTCTATTTACAATCAAATTAAGCATGGTTTTCAACGATATTTTATAAGTCAGTGCGGAAACAATTGATAGATAACGAGGTTCAAAACAAAAAAAAAAGACTATTTGAATCAGGCCGCCCTATCTTAACGATAACAGTGTTTTGGTTTCAAAAGCGAGAGTTAAGAGGTCTCTTTTTTTTTCTGTGATTGTCTTATAAGACAGAACGGGAATGTGCAGCAATATTGGCTTTCATTTAAACGTAACTCTCGATAGACTATCGAAATCTGAACTTAAAAAGAAAAAAAACAGAATGAAACTAAAAGATAAAAATTATTTATTTTAAGTGAAAACTATCGTTTTTGTAGAGAATTGAACCAAGTTTATTTTGATTAAAAAGTATTAGGAAACAATGATGAGACTCGATTTAACACGATTAAAAATTTGTTGGATATTTCAACAAAACTGACTTCTATAATTTAAAATAATTGATCTCAAGGTCGTTTATCAAGATGATGTTGGCACCTGGTTTAAATTTGAAAACGATAATGGTCTTGACAATAGATTTTTTCATGTGAAATTAAATTTACTTACTCCATCCTAATGAAAGGTAGAAAATAAAGTCTGATAAATTTATTCATTCTTTCTTCACTCTTACGACGCACACCATTCTACGTAAATATTGACTTTCAATCACATTTTGAGTGTTGTTTTGCGAGTATGACGTCGATGTATTATTGCTGTTAGATGAGTTTCTTGAGTAAAAAGTGAAAGACGTCATATTTATAATAAAATGAACTGTGAGACATATGCAAAACGATTTCTTTCTTCGACTTTTTCACATCAAACATGTGATCTTTCACATCAGAATTTCTAGTTAAAAAAAAACATGCGGAAAACAAGATAGATAGGGCATGGGCTTTTACTATGAATGTAGGTCTTCTCTTCAGTCATGATGACATCCACACCCATACCCCACACTCACACCCACACCCACACCCATCTTAAAAAAATCGGCGATCTTGACGATATAAGTATTAATCAGCACTACACCGAGAGTTAGTTCAACAAAAAAATGAACTATAATGGTAGTTGTGCTCTTGAAAATTCTATTAAAATCAATAGTTTTACATGTATCCAATCAATCTAATCTGTCATAATAAACAAAATAGACTAAAAATCTCTTTGAAAAAACCTAATGGAAAAATAAAATTCTTTTAGTTTTAAGAAAATTCTTTGATTTGACATAGAAAGACAAGTGAATTCAGTTGATTTGTTGTCCCTAGTCTATAAGTCAATATAAGAATAGAATTAATGAAAAATCATCCAAACACTTTGTTTTATACTACCAGCCTTTCCTGAAAATAGTATAGAGCTCATTTTAAATATCTTCTATCTAACATCTAAATTCGAATTTAGTCTATAGGACCATCATCCATATGAATTTGCTACAAAAGTTGCAACTTTTTCATTTTCTCTACTATATGAAGATGTAGTGTAGTTGAGACAAAACACAGTTGGATCATTGGAAAAGATATGAATTCTAGTGCTTTTTTATTTGAGTTGTTTTAGCGTCTATCATCTTTTGTCTATTCATTTTTCTCCTTCTACTTCTTCTTCTCTTCTCAGTATATTTTCATAAATCGTGAGAGAAATAGAAAATAGCATCGAAAAGACTTTCGAATCCTTTATCAATATTATCATGTGTTCCTAATTTCGCGTCCTTTTTTCTCGCTTCTTCACATTTAGGTATTGCTCTTCGACGCGGATAACTAGTCAATTGCGTAATACGAACATATTCGGTTCTTTGTTAACATCACATACACTCACCTCATATTGTTTTACTCAAATTCCTGTTCAACAATAATGAATGATAGGAATAATAACTTTTTCGACGAATGCAAACCACATGCAGCGTCCGACTAATAATCAAGATCGTCGAGACAACCCATTTCTCTCTCTTTTTCCATTTTCAAGCCGTCGACTATCATCGTTAAGAGTAATATTTGTTGTATACATCTTCAACATGTATCTGTTTTATAATCAAATCAAATAAACACACACGTTTCGTTACACTCTCTCAAATATGTCTTCGTATAGGAAGAAAGAAACAAAAAGAAAAGAATGTTTACTCATCAACGTTCAAAACGATAACGTGTCATTCTCACAAAGAGCAATCGTCTTTTCTGAAATCACATCACGAAATAAAAATATATCTAAATGGCAAATGAGTTTGGCCTTCTTCAAAGAGACAAAGGCAACGGTCCAATACAACACTGTTCACTATTCTTTTTTCTGGATTATAATTACGACGGAAGAATAGAATTGATCACGTCAAATATTAGAGTATTGCTCGAAATGTTTAAAATTAGTCGCTTGATGTCGACAAATAGAGAAAAAGATTTATTAATGAAAACAAAAAGAATAATTTTTATTGTTTCACGACGACTATCGGATAAATATTCGTAATTTAGAAATAATCGAGCAGTCATTCTATAAAAATAAACCGCGATTAATTAGTACNTTTTTTTTATTTGTATAAATGATCATTCATATTCTATGTTTACTTACAGATTTTGTATTTGTTCGCTTTCGATACGTGGTATCATTCGAAAGCATCCAATGGCTATAGATTGAATAATAGTGAGCGATCTTAATCGTTCATCATTAGATATTTTTAAACCGTTTTCACTCAACGAGGTTAATTCAGGATACATGAATGTATTGACAAATTCACAAGCAAAATCAATTTCATCTTCATTCGGAATATGAAATTGAATTTGAAGTTTATTGAAATCAACATATTGTCCCCAAGCCTAAATGATATATTCAATAGAAGGTATTGGAAAAACAGACAAACTTACTCGAATTGGCAAAAAGTCAACAAATAGTTCATCAATATTTTCAACCGTTAGTCGATAATCGATTGGATATACATGAGTAAGTGACTTGAGTAAATGTTCAACGGCATGAGCAATAGTTTCGTATGAATTCTTGTAAATGAAATGAATACATTGACGAAAAACAGACATTATCATTGATTTATAGATCATGAGAGCATCACCAGGAGCATGAACAAGCTCTACAAAGAGAATTAAATACCAAGTCAGTTCAATATCACCTTTGTGATCAGTTAATAATATAGTTGATTAGGAATGGTTTAATATTTTTTCGATGGATTCACATGTTTTAGGCATGAGATACTTGAGTGCTTCAACTGGATTTCCCTTGACAAGTCCTTCAACGAGACCAGAGACAATGTCTCGTGCTCGAGATGATAAACATACACCAGAAACAAAATCTATCACTTTTTCTCGAATTTTCTAAATACTGATATTCAAAATCACATATAATAAATGAAATGTAATTAATGTATTTTTTAATATATGATTAATCTATCTGATGGAAGAAATAATCAAATAGATTTGCGATACATACATGAAAGATTTTGCTACTGCACTGCTGAACTATATTAAACGTGATTGTTGTTAGTTTCCAGTTGATCATGATATCATCTATATCAACATCTGCGTTACTTGTGACAGCATCGGACATATCTGTTGATAATACGTCAATCATTTGAAATATTCGTTTGAGAAATTCGACAATGAAATCGTCAAAGTTTGATGTTGATAAACATACTTCTTTTTCAATCTATGAAAAATAAGAATGCATGGTTTTTCCATGTTAAAGTTAAATTTCACTTCTGTTAGATCATTTCGAATGTTCACTGCTGATGAACAATCAATACATGTAATAAGCATAAGAATAGTATCAAGAAATTCTAATGTAACCGATGTTTTTTCCAAATCATTCAAATCGATGCCGGGTAACGCAGACATGAGTAATGGTAATACATAAATTTGTCCTTGAGAATAAGCAGATGTTTGTTGGACTATTTGACGAGCAATATGCGTTAAACAAGTCATTATTGATGTGAAACGATGTGGTTCAGTCATACTATCAATAGACGAAAAATGTCTACAAAGTATCAATGAGTTATCAAAGAAATAAAAAAAAAATATCAGACTTTTCAACAATTGATGGTATAATCAATTCTGGTCGAAGTATGGAAAGATATTTGCAAGTTTTAGCTGCTTCTTCAGTATAATCCTTATTGAAAATAGAAATGAATGCATAGTCTTTCACACAATTGACAAAATCAGTAATATCTTGTTCAGTTAGTCGATATGATTCTAGTGGTGCAAAGAACCAAACAGGACGACTTGTGCGTTCCCTATAAAATTCTTTACAGATAAAACACACACATCAAAAGTATTTTGTTTATACTCACAAATGAACTCGATCGACAAAATTTTGAGCAAGTCCTAGGATAAACTCGACTAAGTCCTTTTGAAATGCTCCCGTATTCGATGGATGATAGAAATTTTTTACAGCAATCAATAGATCTCGCAAGTATTGAAGACATGAACTTCCATGGCCTATCATCGCAATGATCCATTTTGTTGAAGTTGACACAATGGGATTGTATTCTTCTAAAGACATTTGCATTTTACCAATTGGAAGCGAAAAACTTCGAAGTATATGCGTAAAAATCTAACAAAAAATGGTTTTAATTTAAAAAACAACAAAGCTTTACACCTGTGGTATCCAAGGTTCCCAATGAATATGACCTATATTATGCCAGGCAACCGATGAAAATAGAACACCAAGATACTAAATTAGGTTTTTGATCATAAAAAATATATAATGAATAAGATAACTCACTGATTTCCACGCTGATGTCTTCTGTATATTTTCCCATATACTGAAAAACTCAGCTAGCCATAATCTAAAGAAAAAGATATAACAGAAAGAAGGGGGAGATGAACAAACTTGAATCCTTGATTGTGCAAATCTGGAGGCAGATTGACAGGAAGAAGCAGAGTAAACATTTTGATGGTATTATCAAAGCTCCAATCGAATGGACACATTCGTGGACGTAATTCGTCAAGAATTTCTTGAGTGGCCTGTGCTGAAAAGTATGAAGTACATAGTCGCACACAGGCAAAAAGCGACGTATTAATATCTCTGAAAGCAAAATCAACAATAACAATAATAAATTCTTTCAGTTCTTCAATACAAGAAAAAATATACGAACTTGGGCAAAATGATTAATCCATGTGTCTTATCATGATTATCATAAATGAGTTGAGCCCAATTATAGAATATTCGCCAATCGATTATTAAATCATTTTGTGTGATTAGACGAATCTTTCTACAAAATAGTGTTCTATTATTTCTAAACCGAAATGAAAATACCAACCGCATGAGTTCGCGAAGCATATCAAAACATATTTGAACATGTATATAATTCAAATTAGTAATAGAAAGAATAGACAAATACAAATTAATTAGTTTGACATGATCGACTTTAGTAAAATTGAATCCATAGAGTGAAATGAATTCTTTCAGTTTATCTGACCAAACTGAAAAGCCAGGCTCTAATTCACCCAATTGAATGGTACACGATAAGTTTTCTCGAATTTCATCAAACAATATAAAACTTTGTCGCTTGATGGAGTCATAGAATGGTGTATATTTATTGTAAATGTTAGGCTGTTGCAGATTTTTATCGATCGAATGATTATTCATTTGTGTATCTAAAAAGAGAATACAATTAGATCGAAAGCATTACAAAGAATTATTTGAGAAGTTTACTCAAGCGGTCTCTATGAATACAATTAATTAATCTTTCGAGTAATATTAAGATTCAAAATTTCAGTAGGTGGTCGGTAAAAAGAAAACAACGACATACTACGAAAAGATGATAAGCACATTGTAGATGACTCTTATCTCTGCTATTCCCCTTCTTTTCTTTTTCCANTCAAAACATATTTGAACATGTATATAATTCAAATTAGTAATAGAAAGAATAGACAAATACAAATTAATTAGTTTGACATGATCGACTTTAGTAAAATTGTATCCATAGAGTGAAATGAATTCTTTCAGTTTATCTGACCAAACTGAAAAGCCAGGCTCTAATTCACCCAATTGAATGGTACACGATAAGTTTTCTCGAATTTCATCAAACAATATAAAACTGTGTCGCTTGATGGATTCATAGAATGGTGTATATTTATTGTAAATGTTAGACTGTTGCAGATTTTTATCGATCGAATGATTATTCATTTGTGTATCTAAAAAGAGAATACAATTAGATCGAAAGCATTACAAAGAATTATTTGAGAAGTTTACTCAAGCGGTCTCTATGAATACAATTAATTAATCTTTCGAGTAAAATTAAGATTCAAAATTTCAGTAGGTGGTCGGTAAAAAGAAAACAACGACATGCTACGAAAAGATGATAAGCACATTGTAGATGACTCTTATCTCTGCTCTTCCCCTTCTTTTCTTTTTCCACGTAAATTCAAGAATGAGAACAGCATTTATTAAATTGTCAAAACACCAAAGAGAAAAAGATCATGCTGTGGAGAATTGGATGATCCAACTCGATATGTTGAAGCTTTTTGATCGTAAAAAGGTTAATATAAAATTTAATGCAATAGGTAATGCGCGTAAGGATTCTTCTCACTTGCCTCAAATTGATTGTCGTCTATTGCCGTTGTGCTTTTGTAACGAATGAATATGCTTTAGATACGACATGCTGATAAATTCATCCGTTATTTTCCTCATTAGTCATCTACCAAACTTGATGTAAATATTGGTATTGAATCATTTTCAGTTCGCTATTTTCTCATTATTACTCAATGATGGCTTGCTGTTGTTTGAATATATTGCTCATGAAAAAAAGTTGCTATAAAATAACTTCTTAACGCCAAATTTTAGAAAAAAAACGCTATTTTTACAGTTATACAGGTTATTTTTTATTGGAATGCGTTTCTTCAATTTAAAATATCAAGATAAATTATACAAAAGCATGTCAACCCGTTTTCAAGCATAATAACTGCGTAATAAGTAGGGGTAGGTGTGAAGGTGATAAATCCACCAGCATACGCCACTCTCATCCTTGAGTAGAAGAAAAGTCTCTGGTACGTTCTTTCCTTGGGAGAAAATTGAAACATATCACATCATTGCTTTGAATCACATTTTTTGTGTAAACTTATGGTCACCCACACTTCTTTCTAATGCTACACATTGCGAAGCATAAAAAAATACTTTTTTGCGGTTCCTATGTGAATATTCTTCATCTATTTTCTTTCTCTGACATGTGGATTTTNGAAGTGTCAGTTTGATGAAATAGTGAAGGTCGAGTGGGGTGTGAGTGGGTGTGGATGTGAGTGGGGGTGTGAGTGTGAGTGGGGGTGTGGGGTGGGTGGGTGTGAGTGACGAGAAGACTAACACCCCACACCCAAAATAGCTTTTCAACGCCAAATTTTTAGAAAAAAAACGCTATTTTTACAGTTATACAGGTTATTTTTTATTGGAATGCGTTTCTTCAATTTAAAATATCAAGATAAATTATACAAAAACATGTCAATCCGTTTTCAAGCATAATAACTGCGTAATAAGTAGGGGTGAATGTGAGGGTAATAAATTCACCAGCACTCACCCACCCTCATCCTTAAGTAGAAGAAAAGGCTCTGGTACGTTCTTTCCTAGGGAGAAAATCGAAACATGTCACATAATTGCGTTGAAACACATTTTTGTGTAAACTTATCGTCACCCACATTTTTTTCTAATGCTACACATTGTGAAGCATAAAAAATGCTTTTTTGCGGTTCTTATGTGAATATTCTTCATCTATTTTCTTTCTCTGACATGTGAATTTTTCTTTTTTCCTTTCACTTGTTTTTCTTCTTCTGCGTGAATGTTGCACTTCTTACCAGGCGTTACTTTTCATCGTTATTACACTAAGGTTCCATTTACAATTAGAATATACATTTGAAGGTGATAAATGTAAGCATAACATCCCGAAAACAAAGGTGTTCACCGTCAATTTTGCCAAGTGAGCAGTTTGAAATCAGTATTGCTATTCTGTCTTCTAATCCCCAAAGATCCTTGTATCCTGTTTTTCCTTCTTTTTTTAACATTTCTTTGTTTTTATATTTTTTTGTTCTGTTTCCTTTTACCTAAGTTTTCTTTTCTTCCTGGTACCGGGATTATGGATACCAAGACTATTTCTGATAGGACAGTTTATATTAGTAAAATAATATAATTACAGCTATGAAATGTTTTCTCTTTAATTAAGGATGTCATTTAACAAAGTTCGAAAGAAATGGTACAACAACCGTCGCATTAATTGAAGATGTTTCAATAGACTAGATCCTTATTTTGAACATCAACTCGCACGACCAGAAATGGCCGTATCCGACAATAGTTATAGTCTCTGTTTTCAACTAGTTTCCCTAGATATCCTGTCTCAGGGAACAAGAGTGGTACACAGCTATCGTTTCTGATAGTTTCTTCACTTCGTATCCGTAAAGAAAATGTAGTGATCAGATATGCATGGGAACTCGCCGGTCCTACTGTTTGTAAACTTAGCATATGAAACATACAAGTAAGATGAATCGTAGAAAAGAACGAATGATCTTTGGCTGTACATCACACTTTATATTAGATATGTCCAGAGGAAAAATGCATAGTGAAGAGCAGCCAAACGTAAGAATAATCATGGTCCTTTCTGCTACTGCTGATGTATATCAACCAATTAGATTGCAGTGGTGTTTCCAAGAGATCAACTTTTAACCACTCACATTTTCGCAGGAGAAATTTATTCGAGAAGTGACCAATACACTGTAAAAGAAGGTGTCAGATAAAATCGATCAGAACTTGATTCTAGTCGATATTGAATACCATTTCGATTGAAATCTGTTCAGGTACGACTATATCTTTCCTGAATACACTAAAAGGCACTGAGTTCAGTTGTATTATGAAATCGAACCCAACGACACTCATAGAAGTACAGATGAAGAGGATGGCATAACCTTCAGCCCTTAGTCTCGCCTTTAACATCAAGTGAAGAAGATCAAATACCCTTGTTTATGTTGCAGTATATTAACTTAATTTTGTTATCGTTCCTTTTCAGCTCTCCAGTCTCTAAGAGAAGTACATCATCGTTATTTGTATTTTATTTCATCATTCATTGCTGTCAGATACATTCAATTATATTTTTAAAAGAAAAGCAATGCTATCGGACTGCACATTCTTTGGAATCTATGGGAGAGACATACGTCTACTTGAGAATGATCGAGTGTGCAAAAAAATGGGCCATCTGAATTTTCATGCATGGGCGCTTGGTGCTCAATTCTATTCGACAGATATTCATTCAATTCGCATAAAAGTCGAAAATAAATACGACACATTCATGGGAATTGTCTCGGNAAAGATGTCATACACATACATAATGTTTTTGACATCCATGGGATGACATTCTTTTCTTATTTAAATCAAAAGTGATGCTTCGAAACAATTTTTCTTAACGCTACTGTTATGAGTATGGGCCGTGAGTGCTACTTTTTCAGTGGTAAAAAAAATCAACTCGTTTGGTCAAAATACAATACAGATATTGAAATTTGTTGTTTTCAGTAGTGACTTTCTGGACACCCCATATAAAGGGCAGAAAGAACAAAAAACATACATGGAGCGGTAAAATTAGGAGTGCACTAAAATTCAATCAGGTTTGACTCTTTCTCTATTGTCACACTTATCCAAAGTAATGAATTAAGTCTTTTTTTATTAACTTTATATCCGTCGATAGAGCTATATTCAATCTCTCTCGGAAAGAAAATAATATCTATGGTGCACATAGTTCGAATTATAAGTAAAATGTTAAAAGCTTTTTTTACTGACAGAAGTAGTACATCGCAATTTAGTAATTAAAACAGTTTTTCTTCAAAATAAAAAGCAATGATCTGTAAATGTTTTTGATAGAGCATAATTTTTGACGTAATAGAAAGTTATAGAAAAATGTGCTACTTTCACAAAATTCTCTTCATTTTTAAATAGCTTCTGAAAAGAGAGTTAATTA